GCCGCCAGAGACCGTGCCTGACGACGGCAATGATGGCTGGGCTGAGGCGCCTCCTGAAGGCCCGCCACAAGACGCGCCTCCCGAAGGCCTGCCACCAGACGCGCCACCAGACGCGCCTCCCGAAGGCCCGCCACAAGACCCAGAGCAGCCGCCAGAGACCGTGCCTGACGACGGCAATGATGGCTGGGCTGAGGCGCCTCCTGAAGGCCCGCCACAAGACGCGCCTCCCGAAGGCCTGCCACCAGACGCGCCACCAGACGCGCCTCCCGAAGGCCCGCCACAAGACCCAGAGCAGCCGCCAGAGACCGTGCCTGACGACGGCAATGATGGCTGGGCTGAGGCGCCTCCTGAAGGCCCGCCACAAGACGCGCCTCCCGAAGGCCTGCCACCAGACGCGCCACCAGACGCGCCTCCCGAAGGCCCGCCACAAGACCCAGAGCAGTCGCCAGAGGCGCCTCCTGAAGCCCCGCCACAAGACGCGCCTCCCGAAGGCCTGCCACCAGACGCGCCACCAGACGCGCCTCCCGAAGGCCCGCCAGAAGACCCAGAGCAGCCGCCAGAGACCGTGCCTGACGATGGCAGTGATGGCTGGGCTGAGGCGCCTCCCGCAGACCAGCCCCAAGACACACAGCAACCGGAGGTCGCGCCTCCCGCAGACCAGCCATCCCCTGTCGAGCCTGAAGAGCCACCCAGTGACGCCGGCTGGGTTGGTGGGCCGCCAGAGGGACAGCCCCCTGCAGACACATCACCGCAAGATGACGGCTCGCCTGAGGAGCAGAACCAGCCAGCTGATAGCGAGGCATCGGGCGAGGTTGGCTGGGATCAGTACCAAGTGGGACAGCCAGGCCCAGCAGAACCCGACCCTGCGGGCGAGGGCAGTGCTGACCAAGCGGTCAGTCCTGACGGGGAGCCCGAGACCCCGCCCAATGAAGAGGAGGAGCCGTCGGGCGCTTATCTGACAGGGCCAAACGAAGAAGACCCAGACGTAGCCGAACAGCCAGACTCAACGTCAGCGGAAACGGCAACGGAAGATGGCTCGTCTGAGGAGCAACCTGCCGAGAGCGGGCAGCAGGGGGAGCAGTCTGAGGAGAGCAGTACATCGAGCGAGCAGCAGGACGATGCTGACGGCGGTGACGATTCTGCCTCCACGACCACAGGGGGGACGGGCGGTGGAGACGGCGCTCAGTCGCCATCTGATTGTGCTGGTGTGGGGGCTCCATGCAGCCAGGGTTCTGGTTGCTGCGAGGGATTGGTCTGCAACACAAACGCCGTATGCGCCGCTGATGGCGAGGGCAGTCCTGACCAGCCGGCCGTTCCTGACGGCGAGGGCAGTGGGACGCCCACGCCCGCTGAGGGCGAGGGCAGCAGTGATGACGGCGAGGGCAGTGGGACGCCCACACCCGCTGAGGGCGAGGGCAGCAGTGCTGACGGCGAGGGCAGTGGGACGCCTACGCCCACCGCTGAAGCAGAGGACAACAGTGATGACGGCGAGGGCAGTGAGACGCCTACGCCCACCGCTGAAGCAGAGGACAACAGTGATGACGGCGAGGGCAGTGCTGACGACAATGACTCGCCGGCGGGGACACCGACGCTTGTCCAGGCAGCGATCCAGCTCATCCAGCAGTTCATCAGCATCGAGAGAAACAACTACATCAACCTGCAGGCGAGCGGATTCCCTGTAGGCGGCTTGGGTTCAGGTCGTTGGAGGCCGGGGCGCCCGTACCCAGTGAATCCATACTTCCCGCCATCTGGGTATTGTGGTGGGTCGCGTGGAAGCTGCAAGAGAACCGGCTATTACCCCCCCAAATGCTATTTCCCGCAAGGTGGATTCTTCCCGCAAACTGGAGGCTGTGTGACGTGCTGCGTGTCAGCCGCAAGCTGTCCGCCAGGGAGACGACCCCCGCCACGGAGACGCCCCCCGCCAGGTGTGTATAAGTGATGGGACAAACATAAACTCCTGCTGGATGCACTTTTCTGATGTGGTGTGTGTTCGTTCGATTTGTGTTGCATGTGGTAGGTTCGCGGACGAACAGGACTGCGCAGACGAACAGGACTGGAATGCCACGAGAGGGCCCCACGAACAGGACTGCGCGGACGAACAGGACTGGAATGCCACGAGAGGGCCCCTTGCGACAGAATAGCTCAGCCTTGCTGGTTTCCGCACTGGAGGCACAGGGGTCTGAAGGCCTGGAGGCAGGTATGCTTGTGCCTGAGGGGGTATGTGAGTGATTTCTATGCCTGCTGTCCTGCCATCACCAGGGGTTGCCCGAGGTAATGCGTGGATCCGATGGGAAACTAGACCAAGCGGACAGCGCCAGCAACTCGGGTGCCCCAGTACGTATACACGGCGCAACAGGAAGGACACCACACACGTGTCTGCATGTGTTGCCGCTGATAGAATCTCTTGTGTCCTTGTGTGTCTTTCTTGGCTGAATGAATGAGTGCAGCCGTCTTCTCTGACGTCAGCTACAACAGAGGGCTGGCACTCAACGGCGACGGCTATGAGGTGGACGTGTGGGCCAACAGCAGCATCGCCAATGGCAACGGCACCATCTGGAACCTGCAGTCTGAGCAGAACATGACCTTTCGAGCGTGTCCAGTGCTTTCGTAAGCAATGCCTTAGCCAGCGAGGGATGTGGACGCACAAATGAACTCTTACGCAAGCGCTTTGTCTACATCTGGACATGTGTCTGTGGCAGCAATGGAACGAACGGCAAATGTGTGAAGGCTTCTGGCATTGCGGCAGGTGCCAGTGATACTGTCGTCAATGGAACCGATACCTTGCAACTTGGTACGAACGTATTTATCGCCGTGTCGCCCAGAGCAATGCCGCAATACAGAATCCAGGTATAGCCAGACGCTACCCAACCCCACCCCGCCCATCCATCGGCCACGGAATGTATGCATGCTTTGTCTTAAAAAAACACACATACACACACACATTTGCAGTGGTTGTGTATGCCGGGCGATATCGACTGCGATTGGGTGAGTGGACGGATTCACACGTGGCACCGGAGAAGAGAGGCTCTACACATCCACGTAATGTATGTAACATGTGTGTGTGGGGCATTCAGAGAGTGACCGGCTTCGCCAAGTGCGGGCCCATTCCTCCCCGCACCCCAACCCTGTCGGGCGAGGGGAATCTTCGCGGCTCTGCCCGCCCGTCAGGTAATGAAAATGACAGGTCACACTGACGAGATCCGTGTGTCTCATTCATTCCCTGGTGCCTGTATGGTGTGTGTGGCTGCCTTGTTTTGCGCGTGGCATGCAGGCCGGTCGAGTAACAGGACGGCCAACGCCACTTTCAACGGCACGCCCCCACAAGGCCCCGAGCGCGAGAATCGCTCTTACGCCTTGCTGTCTGTGCTGAAGAAGTTCGATTTCAAGGGCAGTGTGGTGGCTGGCGTGACCCGCGATCTCTCCTGGATCTCATGGGGAAACGACACGGCTACGAATGACACGGCTGCAGACTTCAACAAGACTGGATGTCCTGGTACGTACTCGAGCCACAACAGACGCCCGTGTGTACATTTGTAATGTTGTATGTTGTTTGGGTGGATGCAGCATTCTTCTCGGACATCATTAGGGATGAGGAGTTGGCGCCTGGCAGCGGCTATGAGATGGATATGTGGACCAACACGCGCGAGAGCAACGGAAGCGTGTGGCGCCTGCAGTCACCACAGAGGATGACTCTTGAAGCATGCAACGTGACCTCGTGAGTGACATAGAAATGGCTTGCTGATGCACACTGCTTTGCTCATGGATATACACGTAGCCCTTGTGGTTGTGTGCGTCTGTGTCTACGTTTCTGTGTGTCTGTTGGTGTGTACATGCAGCACTGGACAGACGGACAAGTGCGTGGAGGGGAATGACCGCGCCAACGGGACCAGGGCCATTGTAGGGGTGTCCTCCAGATCAATCGCACGCTACAGAGTCAAGGTACCGTCACTAGATGCCTCCATCCATCCACGTCGGTCGGTGTGCCATCTCCCGTGCTGCCTTGTTTGTATGCAGTGGTCGTGCGTGGGCGAATTGAAATGTCAATGGGTCAGCCAACACGCGCATGACACACGTGGCTGTGAACAAGAGTGGAATGCACATGTGTCCTGCACCTTTCAGGTACTTGCGGGGTACCCGAAGTGCGCACCCCTTTCTGCGGGGATCGAGGTCCTATGAGCCGCCCACTTGATGCATGTATCGGCCAATCATCGCTCTGGCTTAGACAACCAAGCGCTCGGATCCTTTTCTTTTTCTTCGTCTACTTTGAGACTGTCGATTGCCGGCCCCAGCTAGGGCTGGGCTTCGCATGCAACACGGCCGGCCGGCAGCGTGTCTGTCTGTCTCTCCGTCTGTCTGTCTGTCTGTCCGTCCATCTGTCTGTCTGTCTGTCTCTTTATCCGTCTGTCTGAGTGAGTGCATCTACTAGCGTGTGTGTTCTGCCGTGGAGGGAAGTATGTGCGTTATTCGTATTACTGGCTCGTTGGATTGATAGTGTGACTGGCTGCCGAGCGAAAGCTGGGGTGCGCAAGTGCGTCCCTAGCTGCAGTTGGCGTACGTAGGCATGCCAATGAGAGGGCCGGGGAGGTTTCCCTGCAATTCGACCGTGTGTGCCGTGATAATGCCGTCGTGTGTGAGTGAGTGGTCGTGAGGCTGTGTGTGTGTGTGCACGTGTAGGGGGTGGGGGGGAAGGGTGTGTGGGTTTGTGAGTGTGTGTATGAGCGCTGGCTGTGGGTCGGCGGGCTGGTTCCGTGTGTGTGAAAATGTATATGCGTGGCATGTAACAGTAGTGATACGTACGGCCGGAAGGGGCTCAACGAAGGCCGCTTGTTGCCCATCACTGACTCGCAAGCGCCCGTTGGCAGTCGTGCTGTGGTTTTGTGAATGTCGTCATCCATTTCCTTTTGGCAATTGGCTAGCTAGGTGGTATGCCTGTTAGTCACAGAGAGAGGGTATGTGCGTGTGCGCGTTGCGTCGTTTTGCCCGTGTACGAGTACGTCCGCGTTATGTGTATATGTATGTGGCGCGTCGATCGATGTTCATACGTACCTACGGCCGACAACTGCTTGGCCTGATTGACCGGTCCGTTCACACCAACACGCACGTGCGTGCACGATACACACGGGCATCTTTTTAACTTTCTGTTTGTATGTGTGAGCGTGTGTGTACACAGTCAGTGATCGGTGATGTTTGAGTGCTCATGTCGGTATCATCGCATCCACGCGCGTCGCTATGTGACTCTGACTTGCAAGAGTGTGTGACTCGACGCAAGTGATGAGGTCAGAGGTCACTTGGGGGCTGTCGTACATTGATCTCCTGCTGACTACAGTCAGTCATCAGCAGTTTTTAAGATACACGCGTGCAGTCCGATCCATGCGCAGCTTTTTGATTGCATGTCTGATGAACGTAAGCACGGAAAAGTCACGCGTGTGTGTATGTGTTGCGGGGGGGGGGGGGGGGGG